GTAGGTACCTCTAATTTAGTAAGTAATTCAAATTGGCTAAACTAAAAACTAGAGCTCGCAGCTCCAGTAACAATACTCGTAGAAAATAAATAGGAATGCCGACCACGCTTCATAAAACCCGTTAAGTTAGTCCGCTTCATCAAATATATTATTTTCTTCAAAAGAAACTTAGTTTAGATACTTGGATATAAGTAAGTTTCTGTTCGCTACCTTACTGAACTTTCAGAAGCGTAACTAACGCTTTACCGAACTTTAGATATTCGGTTTTCAACTTCAGCTAAACTAATCCAACGGATATTCTATCTGAATAATATTGAAGCTATTGAAGACTTGGAGTCAACTGCCTTTGTGGCGCTTGAAAGATAACTATTCACTAAGAGAAACTTCGTAAAGAAAATTACCTTCTTAATAGAGTTTATTTCTAGTTGAAAGGTAAATAAATAACTGTCGTAAGGTCTAACCAAAAGGTATAATGATTATGATTACTCACAGAGTTAGAGAAGGAAGATGACGAAATCTCCTTAAAAGGGACTGACATTCAACTAAGTCTACTTACTTAGTTAAAGCCGACGAAACCTAGTTACGAAAAGACTATGATTAGAATAAACAAAAGTGTAAGTACTATTGTACATATTTAGGTCCACAAATATAATATTTGAATAAGAACCTCGGAGAAAGTAAAAGTTACTTGCCATCTATGAATCATTCGCAATTTGATAATGACCTAGTTACATGCCACTTATTTGCGTTGCAGGTGTATTGGTAACATAAATTCGTGCTCTTACAAATGGTACTCTATTTCAAGATGTTTATGATCGTCTATCTATCAAGTTATGATGCACTATCATAGAGCAAAAGTCAATGACCGGCGAACGTTAAACTCAAACTAAAATCGGAGAAAGTAATCTCTAATTAGCATGCTGGGCTCGGCAGTTACGTCATTTCCTTACAACAATACAATAAACATAGAAATGGTTACAATATGAGGGGGAAAATGAGTGCAACAACGCCAACAAATTACTCAGATACGTAAAAACAGTTTTGTGTAATTATAGAACAATAAAATAAATTCTTTGCGCATCGGCTTGCGCGGGAAAGCCCGGTGTACACAAAGCACCGCTAATTAGTTAGCGGCGCTACACATCGACACAACTATCATTTACACAATATACATGTGTGGGTAATTTCATATCAATAGATATGTATAGAAACATTCGTCTATCACACACATCTTGGTATTTAAAAATCATTTTTGTGTCGGTATACGCAATAATTTAGTAAATAAGTTTAAATAAAAACGAGGGTAAAGATAAAATTACTCATAACAAACTTTGAATAAATCGAAATCAAAAATAATGAACGATCGAGCTATACAATACCCATATAAATATAGTGCTTTCTCATTGTAATTTTATGTTACTGAATGATATAAAATATTTCGATGATCTCATCTACAGCGCGCTTGGCGCAATGGTTATCGCCTCCAATTGTCAAGTAAAGTGCCGCCGGATCGATTCCAACATTCACATGTTGTTTTAGAATTAATGTATCAAATATTTGAAATTAGAAACAATTAAATCTTTTCTTTTTTTTCCCTTTCCTATTGTTCTAAATCTTATGTTAATTTTAATAGTAAATACTTTAGATTTATTTATACCTATAATATCTTTTATTTATATTTTAGTTCTAGTTATTTATTATTTAGAATAATCTCATTTGCTTCATGCATTTCAACCAACTTAAATAAGATAAAACAGTAAAAAAGTAATTAACTGTGATTTCTTAATGGTTCGATACCTGAGTATATTTGCAATGTTTGTGGCGACCATAGAAATCTCGAGTCATTTTATTTTACACGCTTATGAAGTAACTACCGACTATTTAAAACATGTTTTTCAAATCACCCGACTTACAAAATAATTGCGTTCTTAGTTGTCAATTTATGAGGATTTCATAGTTTATTGCTACACTACTTATATTCGTGTGCAAAGTTATTTTTATTTTTACAAGATGTTCCAACACCTATCAACATTTAAAAAGGCTGAAACCATTGTTTTGCATGAGCAAAACATAACTAACAATAACTGAAATAGCAAGGCGTTTAATGATATCGGTGAGTAAATAAGATACTACGTTGATATTCTAAATAATATTTATTTCATTTTGTAACTCGACACACCAATTTTTGCACTAGAATAAAATAATTATTGCAACTTATTATGAAGTTCAATATTATAAAGATATATTAATAATTTATTATTAATTGTATTGTAACTTGACTTGTTTTTGTTAGGAGTGTTTCTTTAAAACATATCTGGTTAGGGATTTTTATTCCTTACGCCACTACTTAATTATAAATTATTATTCTAACATTGTGTTTACTTATATTTATTATTATTTTTAAGTAACTTTAATTCCTGTAAAGTATTTCCTGGTATTTTAAATACTTATTTGTTTGGTATCAACAGAGGAGATCCATGCAGTTATGGGTGCACAGATATGCGGAGACCGGTGACGTTAAACATCGTCGACGTGGGCCTAAACCAAAGGCAAATTCATCGGCTCGGCACTACGACATCGTAGCCAGGCACATGGCTGATCCGTTCCTGCCAACCCGCACTACAGCGACAGCACTGAATGTTTTAATACAAACTGTACGGAGACACCTGCATTCTGGTTTAAGGTGCAGGAAGCCAGAGAAGAAAATATTGTTATCTGTGGTTCACCAGCAAAAGCGCTAAGAATTTGCTAAGGACTTTATTAATTTTGATTGGGCGAACAGTGTAATCATATTGAGCGAGGAAAAGACTTTCAAGTCGGATAAGGATGGGCGTAAAATATTGTGAAGAAATGATGGAGAAAGGTATACGAATTGCAACCTTCTGCCTTGTAGGATCAGTGATTGTATTGATTTCGGAATCAATTATTGAGCCTGTCAAACTCTGCCTTTATTAAAATTAACATAAAATAATGTTTAATTTTTTTAAGAATATTAAAATGCTGTCTAGAACATACGGTGAAGTGATGTTATTGTTTTGTGGTTAGAAATTGTCATAATTTCTTTCTATTCAACATGTTTATTCACTTCACTTTAATTTTTCATTAACAAATTTATTTAACTGCTTTCGAACTTGATTGACATATTATATTTACGCCCATCTTCAATTAATTTAAAGTTTCCCTGATTCTAAAGGTCATGAAAGTTAAAATCGTTCCATAGCATTCGTCACATTCTTTTTACTATCATACAGCCCACTGAATATTGAACCTTATAACAACCGTCGTAAAATAGATAATATTAATGGAAGTTCAAACGACAAAAAGTCGCCCATTTCAAGAAATATTATGTTGACAGTGTAATTTTTTACATGTTTTACTTGTTTATTACTGTAAAACTGTAATTTAATAATACATTATATTATTAAATTACAAAACAAGAATGTTGTATATTTGTTTATTACCTACTTAATAAAAAATGTTGCTGCCATCGTATTACCGCTGTACCGTATGATATTTCACGATTCGACTATGAGGTTTATTGTCATATCTATTAATTATGATTTAAAGAACTTTAAACTTAACATGTGGTATATAATTAATTATTAGATATAAATATTGAATATAAAACAACATATTTGTATAATAAATAAATTAATTGTAATAAAAAATAGTATTGTTTTATTTACCAACTCATTTGCTTCTTTTATAGCCTGATATTTATATTTTATGACAAAAAACAAAAAAAAAAAAAAATAAGAAAAATAACAAGGTAAAATAAAATTAACTTTTAGCTGGAATAGAACCCACATCATTGATCCTTGAAAGACGATAAAAGCGTGCTCATTAACCAATCGACCACGAGCACTACGATAATGACAGTGAAAATGTCGGGTCATATCAATGATTGTAAATAGTTTTAACCTTACCTATGCATTAAATTATAAAAATACGTATACCGACACAAGAATGAAAATACCAATGTGAACGTGGTGGACGAATATTTTTATATACAGTTATATGAAATTACGCACACATGTACACTGTGTAAATGACAGTTGTGTCGATGTGTAGCGCTGCAACTAATTAGCGGTGCTTTGTGTACGTAACCGCGAAGTGGCGCGAGGACGCATGCGCGCACGTTCGGAATTCGAACCGTAGAACCGTACTGTCTGTATGTGCACACGTCACGAAGACGTGATTGACTGGTTCGTTCGTTATGTCTGCAACTTTTTTGGGTATAGACAGTTCAAGTAAAAGTCCCTTTTCCCCCTAAACTGGCATCATTAATCTTAATCTTAACCTGTTTTTTCATAAAAACACATCCAAATAACAAAATAACAATGTAAACATTTTCACGCCTGGTTTCCTGGTTTTTTATCTTTGTGTTGACTATAAAAAGTAAATGAATAATTATCTATTAAGTGTTCGTTTCGTAAAACAATGATCTTTTGCATTAACGCCGTACTAGTTACTTACAATATCACACCTAATAAATTACCTCGATTGAAGCTAGCCAGTCTAGAATTCTAGAACATACCGAATACTGCAAACAAACTGGCGAAATCGTGAGGAAATCCATACGTCCATCATGTTCTGTATATTACCACTACATTACTACAATGTATCAGACTTTTATGTGTAATTAAAATGTAACGATGGTACCAAATAAAATTCAGCTACAAGGCCGACACCCATGTTTGTCCAAGTCGAACGATTTGTATGACTCAGGCGCAAGTACTAAATAAAAATGCTACGAGGACCTCTCTTGCATATTTAAACGTGATCAGATAAAGAAATCATCTTGACAATGATGCATTGTATTCATTTAAGTGCCTACTGATGGGCTATGAGTTGACTGGTTCGAGGAAAATCGTCGTAAAGACAATAAAGCATTAATTTTAATTGAAATAAAAACGTGTTGATAGAATGAAATATTTCGGTATTGTTCAGAGACATAACGAGTGTGTTTTGTTTGCAGCATTCGCGTGTGTGATGCAGCGATGTCGGTGGCGGTGAGGGCGGCGCTGCTCTGCGCTTGCGCACTGCTACTGCAGCACGGTAAGTACAAAAGAATTATTTATTTCTTACAAAAATTAATATCCACTCTTAGTCCAATTTTAAATTTCATTACATTTACCTTGTATTCGTGATTATAAATTCAATACCTAGCCAGTATCTAGTTGCAATAAACGCATTCAAAAAACCGCAAAAGATCATCAATATTCATATCGTAATATAACGCCTATAAATCACCAGTTACTACACTAATTAATCGGCCGCGTTAATTAAACCTATCAGCCAATTTTCTATACATTTACCTACCCGAGCTATATCGATTCTTATCGATTTAGTTGCCAATCATTTGGCCCAGATTACTTAACTCTACTCTCAGCAATTTCAAGCCAAAGGTTTTTCAATAATATGCAGGTACTTGAAAAATACAATGAGAATGCAAACTTACATCTACCCACATTTTTACAGCAAGCGCGGAGCTCAGAGGACGGTGTCCAGCGGAAGAAAGTGCATGTCCGGCGCGTGCGATACCATGCATTTCGGACAACCAATGCGGGGAGAAAATATGTTGCAAAACTAGTTGTGGACAAGCTTGTGTCGACCCACTTTTCACAGGTATAATCATCTAATTCAGACTAACTAAATTAGGCTGAGGTCAGCATCCAACCTAATCAAATAAAAATGGGTCACTATCTATGCATGTAGCCTACCTATTACTATCTATCCCCCACTGTCCAAATTGGTTACTGAGATCGTTATGCTAAGTATAGTCCTGCTTTAAGGATCCTCAGTAATTCCAATTATACTTATGCAAATATGAGACACAAGTGAACAGAAGTGCAGAGTACAGGCAGGTAAAGTTTATCACATAAACAAATGCTACAAAGCAACAGGAACTGCTGCAAAGTAAATAAATGAAACAAGCGGAAATACAATTACTAAAGCAATTAATGCAGCCCCAACTTCCTCTATTTAGTTAGAAAGTTTATAGCTACGATATAACTGTTATAAGCTGAGAAACTATGCATATTACCCCTTTTAGCAATAACTTACCTTGTTTGTACTTTCTACTAGGATGTGAGAACGTGAAATTGTCTTCGGAGAGGATATCTCGAGCCTTAGCTGCGGAGAACAGCCGCGGTGGCCGAGGCAGAATACCCCCTATGAGGACCCCTCGCTGCAGGTTCACAGATGGGGAGTTTGAGGAGATCCAGTGTGATAATGAGATTGTTAGCACCTGCTGGTGTGTTGATGCTGCTGGATTTGAGGTGAGGTCTACTACTATGTACAATAATTAATTTAAAAACGTAAAATTAATTTCTGATTATAATTATACTAGTAGTCTTCTACTCTCTTCAAAACACCTACATTGACAATGTTAAATAACGCAATAACCTCGCAAAAGCGACAAGAAAACTAAATTGATGTGTGATGTCGCCATGCGAGTTGCTTTTCTGAGAAAATGAAAGTACCTAACACATATCAAAGTCATTTTGCTTAAACATTTATTTTGTTTTCCAGTTACCAGGAACCAGGGCTCCTGCAGCAAGTCTAGTCAACTGCACACGAGTTGCACCCTGCGCTGCACACACATGTAGGATGCTATGTCCACTGGGCTTCGAACTGGACCAACGTGGATGTCCACTATGCAAGTGCAGGGATCCTTGCTCCACTGTAACTTGTCCCGGGCAGTTGTCCTGTCAATTAGAGGAAGCTCCTTGCCTTCGACCACCGTGTCCACCTATACCTACATGTAAGTAAAGGACTTCGCATTCGCACTATAATAAAGTAAGAAAAAAATCCATTATCTTAAATGACATATGGAATTCATCAGAAAGTGCAGTCAGCGGAACAAAACAGAATGTCGGTATATTTAGATTACGTATTCACAAAACAAGGATGCTCGTAAACCGATATGACGGTATGCTAAATACCAATCCAATGAAACATAAACATAACGTAAGAATTATGAATAACTATGTAGTATTGCACGTTATTACAGCAGAAATGCAAATACAAGTCTTTGTTCCGTATGAGTAACTAGGATAACCTTGTATTTCACAGGTAAACGGGGCCGTAGTCTGATGAACCTCTGCCCTGTGGGAGAACCCCTATTGATATCGGAGACCAGTAGACCTTTCCTATGCGGTACTGATCCTGGGAAACCCAACTGTCCACCTTTGTACCGATGCCTTGTTGAATCAGGTTTGTGTAATTTTATTTTTATACTTTTTGACACGATTACATTAGCAATCACTCATAGGATTTTCTTATACAAACGTAATATTTATTTACAGGAAACGACTACGGCGTATGTTGTCCTGCATCTCTAGAGCTCCAAAAAGCCGGAACATGTCCAGCACCTTCCAACGATGGATGTGGAACTCCCTGTGCCCACGATTTGGAATGTCCTTCGATGCAGAAATGCTGCGATGGTGGTGAATGTGGCAAACACTGCGTTTTACCAACCAACGTAACAATGTGTACTCAGCAAAAGATGTTAGCGGAACTTTTGGTTGTAAGTGAGAAGGAGGGTCGCGGTTATGTGCCGCAGTGTGATGAAGATGGGTCGTTTATTTCAAGACAGTGCTCAAGAAATGGATTAGTTTGCTGGTTAGTTGTAATACTTTTACAAGAAAACGAACTACATACTTATCACCCAGTAGTTGCATCGATTTGTATATAATGTCTTGTTCCAGGTGTGTCGACTCAGACGGTAACAAGCTTCGAGGATCAATGGGTCCATCTTCAACAGTAGAATGTTCCTCAACACCTCTACCAGTTCGGATTGGAGCTCGCAGCTTAAATTCCTGTGCAAGAGCGTTGTGTGCTGCTGTGTGTGAATATGGATATAAAACGGGTGCCGATGGATGTCCCACTTGCGAATGTGATGACCCTTGCGCTGGATACCCCTGCCCGAAAGGCGAGGAATGCATCAGGGTTAAAGAAGCACAATGTGTTGGAGACCTTTGTTCAGGATATCCAATTTGTAAGTACTTTGGGCTAAAATATATTGCTAAAAGCACATTTCTAATTACACTATAATAAAATAAGTCGAAGTAAAATATTATTATTCATTTTTTCTTCTATTTGCAGGTCGGCCAAAAGTAGCATACGAGAACCCATGTGCGTTAGGTGTTCCAGTGTCTGATGCAAATGGTGCATCAGAAGAGTGCCAGGTGGATACTGACTGTCCCACAAGCCATATTTGCACGAAATCTAAGAGCAGTGGTGTGTGCTGTCTAGATCCTCTATCATTCAGTAACGCAACTGAACCTGATGTTATAGAGGTAAGCAACTTGTACAAACTGGCGTTGTGATTCGCTATATGAATGAAGTTACCGGAGGCTCAGGAGATTCCCGCCTCCCCAATTTCTCCAATCCTCAAATTCCTAAAAATATTTACATTGATTTCTTTATAAGTTTGACTTTAAAATTTTCCAGGTAAACTTCGAATCCTGTGGTCCTGAGGCAGAGGCGGAATGTGGTCTCAACTCTACTATGTCTTGCCTCGAAGGTGACTGCGATAATGACTTAGTGTGCTGTTCCACCGAAAACTGTGGACCAGTGTGTGTAGACCCGATTAAAATGAAACTACAATCAGAAAGAGTGGACGAATCACCTACAAGTAAGCACCCTTTAGATTATCTTTAAACACTCATTTAAGGCTAAATCCTAGGAGAATCTTAAATGAACTTTGTGAAATTAACATAATGTGTGTAACTTTTAACCGTTTCAGTGTGCGAATACCTCCGCGACTTTGACGAAAAGATGGAAGGCACGGTAGACGGCATGAAGCTCGCGTTACCAGCCCCAACTTGCAAGTCTGACGGGTCTTTCACATCGCAACAGTGCGCTAACGGCCGCTGTTGGTGCGTTGATACCTTCGGCACGGAAATACCGGAGACCAGCACCAATAATGCTTCAGCTGTGGACTGTGACAAGTAAGATGCTAATTTTTACTACGTAATTCATTTTGTATGGTGTTTTGAAAACACTATAAAGCTGGCCTTATTTCCAAAATTTTCGTCTTTGAATTAGATTTGTCAATAACTTCATAGATCATTTTAATTTTTCTCCTACAGTGTTCGTGCAAATCTCTCTTGTCTGGAGATGACATGTCGAATGGGCTGTGACTACGGATTCGAGCTAGGCTCAGGCCGCTGTCCTACATGTAAATGCCGCGACCCTTGCGCAGGAGTGCAGTGTCCTGCCGGACGATCTTGCGCAACTGTAGATGTCGCTTGCGACGCAGATTATTGTCCACCTGTGCCTGCTTGTGAGTTGTTAAAAATTAATGATATAAATGTTGTACACCTTATTGATGTTCTTGTAAATAAAATGTCTTTGTTGATATTTCGTGAATACTCTTTAAAAATCACCTTTTTATATACCTACTTCAGGTCTTCCAAAGAAACCAGGACAGTGTCCTTACCTAGTGCCTTCAAACGGTGCCTGCGAGTGGTCTTGTAGGACGGACGCGGAGTGTGGGCCTACTGAAAGATGTTGCGCGACCGGTTGTGGTACTGCCTGCACGAAAGCTGTACACCAAACTGCTTGTCAGCAAAGAAGGTACATTGGTTGTGATAACTTACGCTTAAATTCTTATGTTATGCTCTAACCGATTATGATAATGATAACTAACAAATTGTTATCTATTAAATTTTAATCTATCATCAGATCATCACATCAGCTTATTGATATACTATTTAACTGGTAATACGTCTTTTTTAATGGACAAAATAAATTTTCCAGAGCATTAGCTCTCCATACGGCGGCTGAGAGCGGCAGTCCACCAGCCTGGACATGGATACCTAAATGCAAAGAGGATGGTGCCTACGTCCCTATACAGTGCAGAGGATCTGATAAGTCTTGCTGGTGTGTCGACACTGCTGGTAATGAGGTTAGTGTAGTTTCATTCCCTAATAGTAAAATGGTTTTAGCCTTTTCTATTCATCAGAATAGATTACATTTTTCAAGTTAAGCCAAACCAGGGTAAGGAATCACGATACTATAACTTACCTGCACTAAATAAATGTCTTTATAGGTATGTATATGAAACTGCTTATTGTCAATCTTCAGCCTGATTTCGTGTAAATATTAATGATGACTGTTTGAAAGTTTAGTTTGAACGAAAAAACTTTTTCCATCAGATTCTTGGTACAAGAGTAACGAACTCCACGCCGAACTGTGATGCACCAATACCGTGTGCTCAACCAACTTGTGACGTGGTGACGTGTGCCCACGGTTGGGAGTTGGACAGCAAAGGATGTCCTACCTGCGCCTGTAAGGATCCTTGCGCGGAAGCCAAATGTAGAAAGGATGAGTCCTGCGAACTTGTACCTTTGGAGTGTGAGGTAAGTCGACACAACACAATGTTTCTTTAATTACGATTCATCAAAAAGAGCAAACCTATTAAAATTATTATTCGAAATGGCGTCTAATTGAATCTAATCTGAACCCCCCGAAGAATGTTATAGTCTAATCATATTTACCTCAATAACTAATCAAATGACCGTTTAGGAGGTTAATTTTTTATTATGACTAACATCATTTTCGTTGTTTTTCCAGGGTAGTTCCTGTCCTCCACTAGCGCGCTGCAGCCCAGCTCCGCAGTGTCCAGATGGTCACAATCCACTTCAAGCTCCAGACGGCTCAGGGCCACTGCTGTGTGGACCTAATGCAGCAGCTTGTCCTTCCACCCACGCCTGTCGGTTTGCTCCCCATGATTCAACACCGTCTGTCTGCTGTCCCAAACCTCGTAAGTAATCCATGGAATGAAATTGGGAGAAAATAGACGTTAACCTATGACTTAAAAATAAGATTTTGAAAATCAAGAAGTTTAAGACTAGTTTTTGACAGTTACGTGTTATCGTAGGTATACTATATTCCCCGAGGTGGGAAAAGCAATTGGATGATTTACCCCCTCAAAAAAACCGTTTACTATATTCGCTATTAAAAATCGAAACTACAAAGAATTTGTCGGATCCGATCTAAAATTTGACACTACTAGAGATATACTGTACCAGTTTTTTTTTATACTGGCTAGCTTGACATTTGGCCACCAAGACTAAATCAAATTCTTTGGAAATTACAATTTCCTTCTGCTATTTGCAGGCACGGTATGTTTCGAAAACAAAGATGAAGGCAGTTGCACTGAAGGTGATGTTCTAAACACGACAAGATGGCACTTCAACCACGCACGCAACCGTTGCGAGAGGTTCAAGTATCATGGATGTTCCGGAAACCACAACAACTTCAGGACGAAAGAGGAGTGCAATAATGTATGCCCTGGTAAGTTCCACATTAATTTTGAATGACTCTTTTTCGGTGCATGGTTTCGATTCTGTAACATACTTTTACACAATTTTTCTGAACCCCTTTCCCAAATTCCACAAACCATGTTACATATAATAGTTTGTTTGTTCGTTCTATAAACAATTTAAAACCTAAACAGCATTTTGTAAATATGTGTATAATATAAGTTGATCTGTCCACTTCAGCTATAAGGGTTTAGTATGTTTACTAAGCTGCTTTTATCTTTTAAAACAGTGGAAGGGGAACCTACAAGAATGCCAAGTAAAAAAAGGAAGACAAGCCAGATATTGAAAGACGAAGGCATGTCGTTATTTCTTTTGTATATACATGTTTTATTTATAAGAGCCCACCCACCTGTGTTAACATCACAAATATGTAGTGCACTTTAGATTCTAACAGCATGTTAAAATAGCATAACTAAATTACATCGAATCATCCAGAAAAAGCATGGGAGAGCCAAGTAGATCAGTCGCTTTGGCGAATGAAGCCAAAATGTCAAATTTTTAGTGGAAGTTCATATTTAAAAACTATAGTGAGTAGAAGATGAGTAGTTTAGATAATATCAAACTTGACTAATCGTTTGTAAAAGTAGTTACCGAAATCCTTCTTAACAAAACGTTATATATATTTTTTCTCCACAATACAGTATTGAGCCCTTGTGAGAGACTACGAGAGAAGAACGAGGCAGCTGCGCAGAAGTACGGCAAAGGGACGTTTATTCCAAAGTGTGACGGCAGTGGTGCTTGGGAATCAGTGCAGTGTATGTCACATATTGGTAAGTAAATCGTCCGTTTTAAAATTTTATTATTTACTTTTCTTCTGGTCCAAAATGATACTTATTTTAACTTGTTCCCTTATTCCCAGACGTTTGTTGGTGTGTAAGTGCCCGTGGTGAACCCCTCAAGGGTTCTTTAGTACGAGGTGCCAAACCCGCCTGTAACTTCAGACAAGCACGCAAATGGGTGGCGCGAGACCCGCTCGACGAACGAGCTAGAGCTGACGAAGGTAATGACGATTAAGGTCAAACAAATAGGAAAGCATATTAAAAGCACTGAAATGCAGAATTATATATTCACAAAGCCATATTCTTAGACAGACATCATTAGCTATCCTAGTTCCTGAAATGTAAAATAATCGGCTAATCTCTCAATTTCCTTTTCCAGTACTCGAAGAACTCATCAGACAAATGACTGCATACAGAGTGGACGATTTCGACGATGACGACGAAGATGACGTTGAAGATGATTTAGAACTCGAAGCTGAGGTTCGAGACGAGGAATCTTTAGATAAACTACTTCAACAAACGAGTGAGAAAGACGAACCTGTGGTAGTATCGGAGATCGTTGAACCAAAATTAGCAGACACTACGAGAAAATTTGAGAAAAATCTGGAAGTGAATGTAGATAAACTGATATTTAAAACAAAGTGTCAGATGATGCAAGAAGAAATTGAGAATGGTAAGTTGGAAGCAGATCCAAAAAAATACTTAATTAAAAGAATACTAATCCGTAGACCAAGATTATCTTTAGCAAAATAATTCAAAATTTACAAGTTTCTTTTTCCTTCCAACAGGTGCGGAAGGTATGCGCCCTCGTTGTTTAGAGAACGGTGAATTCTCACCACGACAATGCTCTCGGGGCCGATGCTGGTGCGTAGATGCCGCAGGACAAAGAAGACATCACGCGGGAGTAATCAACGATGCGCCCGCACCAGATCCTTGTGGTAAGCCATAAAGTTCAAAAATTCAATTAAAAAAGTTCAAAATATCATCACCTGTTGACAAGTATCAGACACCATTTGTATTCTCGACTAATCAACAATTCTGAATTGGTTACAGAGCGAACACAAGTAGAGACAGCAATATTGGAGTTGGAGTTAGTGAATGTAGAGCCAGCGAGGGCAGAAGTTTCACGTGCAGCGTTAGCAGCGCGGCTAGCAGCGCTTGGAGCTCGTGTTCCCGTGCATAGCAGTCGGGAACGCAATGCATTGCGCTTGCGCACAGTACTTACCGGCCCACACGCCGTCGACTACATCTACCATATCGAGAACATGGTATGTTTGTGAGAAACTCTTACTTCTTCATCCCCTGTCTTTTGGTTGATGATTTATTTACCTTGATTGGTTTGACCTTGATGAATGATTAGTCTTGAGCTTCATTGGAAACTCAACTCAACTCAACTAACTTAGCCTAGCTTTTTAAACCCTAGCCTAGCTAGTTTTAACTCTAGACATAGCTAACGAGCTGTGGTTATTAATTAAGACTTCAGGAATTGCAACCAAACTGCTACTTCCAAGATCGTAACTAGTCTGGCTGCAAGACACTAAATAATTTCCCTGATTACTTTCACCTTATCACCTTTAACCTCTTTAGAACACCTTCTCATATACCTATATTATTTTACATATGCAGGTGAAACAAGAAAAAGTAGCAGGATATAAAAAATCAAGCGATGAAATGATACTGGGTGCTGACGTCATACGAAGCGAGTACCGTCTTACTACACCTACCAGATCTGCAATGCAGCAACGAGAAATACTGAGCGAATCCACTGTAAGTATTAAGGAACTTGATTTTCTCGGTAATGAGCACAAATTTACTAGTTGTATTTATTGTTAAAGATACTTTTCAAAATGACTACATAAAAATGTTTGTTTCTTACCAGGTTTCCGCTACAACTTCATATCACACTGCACTTATAGTACTAGCTGCTACTTCAGCCTTCATCATCAGCGTGTTATGTGTCCTTGTGATGCTATACCGCGCGAGATTACAACGGGAACCACAAAAAGCCGAGCGGTTTCTGCCACCCGCTCCTCCTGTTTATGTCCTCTCCGCTGACGAGAAAGCGGAGTTAGCGAGAGTTTTACATGCCCCTCCTCCTCCTGTCCCACCACAAAACGATGACCAAACAAGAGTATAACTGTAATCTTAAGACAAAAATGCTTTAAAACTTTATTGTAGAACATGGATATGACCACTCAAACTTCCCGCTAAAACTTACTGTCACTCATAGGGTTGCCAAGTATTAAATTCATAATTTTAAACACTTGGACTCGTGACAATAAAGTTGTAAGGCTGGGAACAGACTATCGCAGCACATACGAATTTATCTGCTAGTTATTGACTTCAAGTATTACGGTTCTATTTACATAATAAACTTATAAAATTTACACAATTACTAAAATTAAATAATTCTTAGGAATATTGTCTAACATAGAACACTTGACCTATAATGTCAATGACAATTTCTCTATAGTTACGAACAGGTAGACCGATTAATATTTATTTATAGTAAGTCATATCTATGTAGAAGTGGTATTATACAAGTGGTTACTTCAGTACTGTAATAAAAATGGATAATTTAAAGCCTGCGTTACTCGTTTAAGAAGCTATTGTAACGATAGTACAGGTACTAAAGTAATTATAGGGTCCAAAATAATATTGGCTAGAATTTGAGTAACGTACCTAGTTATATTCAATTACTGTCTTATCTCTGTATTTATTATTTTATAAAACTTTATAATTATTCAAATACATAAATTCTCATTAAAGGTAAAGTAAAAGGTTTAATAAATTTAAATATCCTTCTTCTATTTGAAATGTAAGTACAGAGATAAGTTTAAAAAAGGACATTGTGACTAATGTCAGTGGTGGACGTTAATATTATTAGAGACTGATAGGTGATGGTCGCATTCTCCTGAAAGAATCTCTGATGTATTTTGAGGACTATGAGGTAGTTACAATATTCTTTGTAAATAAAATTGATGATATAATATTACTTAGACTATAGAGAAAATTGTAACTATCCCAAAGTATCTTGTTAAATGTAAGAATTGTAAAAACTATGACATACCTATATGAATAGTAAAAATATATCGCAATGTACGTTATGTCATAATTTCTATAATTCTAAAGAAACGTATCTTGTTATGTTTTATATTAGTGTAAGTAACTATTATTAAGTAAGCGCAGAGGCGCGCGTAAATTTAGACTACGCGCGCCTTTACGCATTCTTTAGTTCCTCTCGTTGAGTCTCGATCTCCTTCACTTAAATTACAAACTTATATTTCAACACACTTCTGCTTTAAATTGTAATATTATCAACCACATCTTAAAAACGATGTGCATGAAACAAGAACGTGGCTCGACGTAGAACTAATCTAGTCTGTTTTTATTCATGGTCCCTTTCATCACATCATTCTATTATCACAAATTGTTTTTCTTTTGTATTTGTAAATAAGTTTAAATATTTATTTAAGATTCATTTATATTTTTTTCTTCATCAGTCGTAAGTCGTAAATATGCACATTCCACAAATATTTTTCTTTTCATAGTTCATCCCTAATTTTAAGTTAGATCAATAACCACAAGGTTTTTTATTTTTAACCGTGGCTTATTTACATAATTCCTTAATCAAAGCACACATTTTGACAGTATCAAAATAAAATGAAGAATTTATTCATATGTATCAATAATTTCAATAAATAAATAATTTTATAAAAGATGTTTTACTTTTACATACTATAGAAATCAGTCGCGGAGAACCTAACGGGTAACCGGGGCTCCGGCTCGACGGGCAGGAGAAGGAACGGGGTGGTTTTTAGTCATTAAGAGTCTGACACTCCCTCCCGCCTCACCCAGGCGGGAGCAGTTATTCGATGATTTTCCCCCCTTACAAAAACAACTATAAAAATCAGTTTCGAGTTTTATATGTGTAAAATTTAAAATTTTGCCAAAGGCTGTAAAACTACACCCACCCAACAACCCATAGATTGTGCAGTCATAGAACGATAAAATACCTATCTATTATCTTTTATCGATGTGCCATTTTTTCTTCAAGTCGTGTAGGTAGGTACGCTTGGAGGTGTTCGGAGCACATTGACCAACTATGTCACATAAACCGCTTGGAAATTATCTGAAAGGGGATGCACGTGAAGCCAGTCAAATACGCTTACAACCGGTCGGATATGCCCGCAGGCCATCAGATACGCTTGGACCCGGTCAGCTTCTCTTATTATTTCCCACCAAGAGCGTTCAAGCATTATTAATAACAAAAGCAATGCACACAGCAAATGCAAAAATAATCCATACTACAATTTCTAACAACTCTATTTTCACCGTGACAAGAAGCTGTTTTCTTTCTCTCCGAGCCGTTATGTATGACCTTTACTCATTTTATTGAATTTATATAGGTAATATAATAAAGAAAAGTACCTACTCAATAAACAAATTGAGTAGGTACTTTCCTTAATCAAAAATAAATTATTTCGACGGTTCAATAGAATAAAATATTAATAAATAATCACACTTTCATTAATTGATTTTATGTCCAACTTAATTTTAGTATTTTTGCAGCAAGTTTTTAAGAAATAAGTTAGATGTTTGACGCAAAAAAACGTGACGTTTTTTTGACAGTCCGAAAAAATATTGAACCTTGACTAGTTGTTAAATACCGTATTATTTTACCATTGAATTATTTATTGTTGTTAACAAAACAGAGAAATTAATGAATAATTAGAAATTCTAACAATTAAAGCTCAACATTCTCTGAGAACAGTTTATTTAATAGTCAGTTTTCTACTATTTTCGTCATGTTACTAATCCGGTAGTGTATCTTTAGCCTTATATATTTTGGTAGTCAGTTAACTATCGTATTAAATTTAAAAATGTTCATTAAATTGCTATTTATCCTTTGCATTAACAAAATATAGATGAAAACTTATAAATGTGAATAAGAAGTAATTTAAAATGTCTGAAGTAATAATGTGCATTAATTAGTCGTCATCTTGATTTCCGCATAAATGTCACGTCGGCGATGACATTTCTTTCAGTTGACAAGTCGCAGGGGCCGGTCGTAGGGAGAAATTATTTAGAATGAATCAAGGAGGCGGCCTCGCTTGTTGCGCTGTTTGCAACGAGATATCACAGCGGAGATGTAGTCGCTGTCTCACTACTTATTATTGTAATACTGACCACCAACGACAAGACTGGAAAAGACATAAAAGTGAGTGTGCACCCAAGTTACCAAAGCAGGGTACGAAAAGTGATAATTCAGGTGAACGTACGATAGTTGGTGAAGAAGCCACGAAGAAAGTGAAAGACGGAACTTCCAACGTCACGGAGGAGAGTCACCAGGAGTGTTCAAAGGATAGTAGTAATAAAAGACATTCAAAAAAAAGTAAATCGAAGTCCGTAAAAAATAGTGATAACGAAGGTGGCACGATAGGTGTTAGTAAACATAGCGCACAAGTATCAACTGAGAACGTTAAACAAAGTGAGCCAAGTACATCGAAAGCCTCGGGGCACAATGACAGTAGTGTGATATCTAGTGTAGTGTATACAAACCGCGACTTGTCGACGAGTAGTGCCATAACTTACGAGGGTTCCTCGGAGCAGGAGGTGTTGCGCGAGACTGCGCAGCTGCTGAGCACCGTGGACTTCTCGGCGCCGAGTACCTCTAATGTGTTACGGGCAGTGAACAGGACTGACACTGCAAACATGCCCGTACTGCCTAACTATGGGGCGGAGCAGGGTACGAGGACGAAGGAGTACCCTGAGGCCTCACTGAAGGGCAGCGGTGCACCGTTTAGTCACATGCCTAATAGTTACTACATGGATCCGAGTGACTCTTGTTATGAGATCTGTCACAGAGTGATCAGAGATATGACTCAGTATGGTGTTTGTGTTCTGAACAATTTCCTTGGCAGGGAACGAGGACTTATGGTGTTAAATGAAGTGTTAGAAATGTATAGATCAGGAATATTCACTGTGAGTATGCTGTTATTATTATTTTATTGTTTTATTTGGTTTATAACGGTTTATAGCTAATATTATGGTAAGTTAAGAACAACATTGTTCTATAATGTTCTGTAGTAATTCAGATTTATCACTAATTCATTATCATCTTCTGCTGTTAGACACCTATAGGCCATTTAATTTGATCATTAGCTCTTCATATCGAAACAAAATACATACACACATAACATTATGCCTTGTAACCCCGGTGGTACAATATAACACCCACTTTTCGCTATTTATGAGTCCAATGTCATAGGGGGTGAGCGAGCGAATTGCCATATACCGGGCATAACCATTTCTATCCAAATAAAAAATCCTGTATATTTTTTTACAATTAAGTAGTAACTTTTATTTGTATGGTGAAGTAAATAAGTTAAAATAACAATTTAAGTTTTAATTGTTTATTCAAGAATAGTAAACATTAGATCACATAATAGGATACATACTCAAAACAAATTAATACAATATTTTTAGGTAGGTACTTGGGTAACAAAACTCATTTTTCAAATGTTTTATTATATCTTCTATTGTGGCAATGAAACTCGCATAGCTTATTATGTTCTGTTTTATTGTTATTACCTTGTTTTCTTTTACTAATTAATCATGAAAAAGTAATAACCATTTCTTAAATTTTGATGTTTCCTTTTACATACAATTCTGCATGTTGCATGTATCTAATCTCTTCTGAGTTGGTTAATATAAGTTTATTAGCATATAAAATATATTTTTAACATTCACAGTGCTATAAATATAGGTCATTATCTCAAATGAATAGTTTTGATACCAAGGAAACATGTCTTTCCATATCTTACATTCGAGAAAAAGTATTAATATTAGGTTTACTTTATAAAATGTTATTTTCTAACAACTTTAAATGTAATCTAGGAATTGTATTCTTAATTGTTATACCCGAACATAGTTTTTATAATATTACCTAGCTAGAAATTAATTTTTTTAACTAATCTGCTTAGCAAACTTGTAAACAAAAACCTTAAAATACAAATTCATAAGCAAGTCAAAATTTGTAACAACAAAATGATTACAAAAAGGATTACAAAAAGAATTGTTAACTTGCTACACAACAAACGAATTACTTGGTCAAACTATTTGTATGTCTCACAATAGTTATTATAAAAATATTTGTAAACATGTTCCTAATACATTTTTCTACAACACAGGCTGGTCAGCTAGTCAGGTCAAATTCAGCAACAACAGAAGCTCAAACAATCCGAAGTGACCTCATCACGTGGATAGATGGCAAGGAACCAAACTGCACCTATATCAGACAGTTAATTAGTCAAGTAAGTACAATTAGTTATACATATAAACATTTCTTACATTTAAGCAATAAGTATACTATGTCCATAAGTAATGTTGAACCATGTTCTTGAAGAACTTATACATTGTTGGAACTTTTTATAATACTGCCAAAGTTGTGTGTAAGTAAGTAGAGGTGTATAATTTGTTACTCTGTCTGTTAATTTTTCATATGTTCAATACCTAAAAATGCGAGGAAATATGTGTCAGTTACGCTAAAAGCAATTTAATTAGACATTGTAAACAGCGAGGCTATTTTTTTTTAATGTTGCTTCACACTAGGATTTTCTTCTGTTTCGTGGGTGCGTTTACAAACATACAAGTTCACATACACAATGACACCCAGACCCGAAACAACAATTTGTGGATCACACAAAGTGTTGTCCCGTGCGGGAATCGAACCCGCGACACGTTGCACGGCAGCCGGTTGCCCAGCCAACGCACCAACCGTGCAGTCTATAACTTTCAATCCGAAAGATCGAAATGAACTCGATCACGGTCCGCCATGTCATTGGTTGTGAGAATCATCTCGACCAATGACGGACGAGAATGCGATCGAGCTCACTTCGAAAGTTCAAATTGATTTCTTACAGAATCGCCTAGCAGGCTCTTATTGACTTTACGCCTGTACATCTCAGAGACACTGGTGTATTAATTCTGGTCCATAATAAGTCAAATTCAATATAGGTAACTAATAAAAAGAATATTAGCCATATATTCACTAACTACTATGTTACTCACTAATAAATTAGGATTTAAAATAATTATCAGTTTTATTGCGCTAAGATACATTCATTGTCGACAAATATACTTAAGTACTGACAGATAAACAGCTTTGTGCAATGTGCAACTCAAAATATGTTGGTGTGCTAATCGCAAAAAGATTAAAACTATACTTATGGTAATATCGAGGGCCCCTGTAAGTACATACCTACTTATAATGATAACAAATTCAACATTAAGCACTGGACAGTCCTCTATTGTACTATGGGCCTCCCCGTCATAAGAAAGTTTGCCTTAATCTCCAGTCTAGGTAGTTGATGATCGCAGTTTAAAAAGTTTAGGTTCAGTAGCGATAATGCCTCATCTCTGACACATATGTCCATAATCAGCTCTCACAACACCTGCCGGAAGACTAGGGATCTTGGTGATCAGAGATCTGCCATCAAATAAATTAATTCGAAAGGTCATGCTGCTCATGAGGAAGGAACCCTTCTCTGGTTCGAAACTAGTAGAGCTTTTCTCAGTATACTCACGTGAGTAACCCGCGATTTTAGTGAATTCGAAAGGTGTTTAAAAGTGCAGATGTAGCGAGTTCAATAATATCCCTGGCAGATGTTTCAATGTTATTGATATCTATTTACACATTTTCGGGTTGGCTGATGTAGTTTTTGAATGTTTGCATATTTGTTCTTCTTTTCCTCCTGAATGGCTCCGCCGATTTCGATGACATTTTGTGAAATCATTATGAAATATTCTGGATGCTGATAGTGTTGTCTTAATGCTGTTTTTTGAGTCAATCTTTATTATCTATTACTATAGTCAAAGTCTTACCTCCTTTCTTAAAAATGCAACAATCGAAAATATAAAACTAGGTAATTCAAAAATCACCCTCAAATAACTTTGCTATCAGCTAAAGAAACCTGTCGTATCTGGTATTGATATTAACACAACAATAAATATCGTTGCATCATTTATTTGCTAAAAGTATTAGCAATATAGAAAAAGCTACATCTAGGTAGGTAGGTATATAATATCAATAATATGGCAGCTAAACCGCAAATCGTTGACTTCAAATGGGGACATTTTAACCACAGTACGATTTAATTGTATGACAGAAAGAGAAGCCTTTTTTTTCATTCTATTACTTACCTTGTTATCTTTACAAGGTCATAAATCTTTATATTCCACAATATTGTCCTAAAGTTTTTCTCCTGTCCTCGTATTCTTCTTATCCTGCTACAAAAGACAAAAATTTCATGGTGTATGTTCTCCGAACGTTTGGCCCAAAATGGAAAATAAATCCATTGTTATACGCTGATCACAAAACAAGACGGGATTTTTGTGTGGTAACATAAAATTTCATTTCAATCTGGACTTTTCGACCTAAAATACATATACCTCACTTCCATTGACGAAAATATCACTACGAGAGTTGTATAAAAATGATATCATAGATACGTCATCTCTTTACGTTTGTCGTATCGCCCTGCCTGTGATTAAAGTGCCATAATTATCAAAATTATGTTCACTAATTACTGATATTAAATACTCTCCGTGACCGGTCATACAATTACTAATTGCTGTCAAAATAACAAATATCTAAATTACTTTACATTATGTTTTCGTAGTCAATACATTTTTGGGTGATGTTAGTCAAACCAATGGCTTTTCAAATATCTTAAATGCTTCGGTGAGTATGTCTTTGAATGAAACATTCTGAATACATCGATTCGAATTTGCAATAACAGTACAAAAAGGTTTGATACTAAAGATAGGAGAAAGCCTGAAGAGTCCTTCAAAAGAGTTTCACAAGGGTGAAACTTGGGACCATCCCCAAAATATTACCATTATAACTTATAGGTATTAGCGAATTATCAGGCGACGGCGATAATTCACTATAGGTTAGCGAGAGGTTTACAACGTTATCGACTGATTAGTAACAGATATCCATTGGATACATATTATGGCGCCAAAGATTGTGCCATATTGGACATTCCATTGTCTGCCAAATTATTAGTACTTCTAAGGGTTCTTTTTCTCCAATCTTTTGTCAAATGATGTGTGTATATGTAATATAGTTACATAAATATTTTTTTTTGTACTACGTTTACATACCTGTGTACTTTTATCAGAGACGTGACTGCACGTATGTTTGATCAGATAAAGAGAATTAAGTATATGTTTACCAGACTCTCATTGATGTTAAGATAAATAGCAATCAATTCGCTTGTATATATTTGTATTTGTTTATTAGTATTCATTATTTTATAGACTCACATTTGGAAAGACATTTTCGATCTTATGCAGAACAATCAATGTATGCAACTATCTGCCATTGCCCTGTTTCGATTCTTTAATCTGATAAAATAACTTTGGGTTTTTCAATTTTAATTTAGGTAAATCTCATCAGCCACTAAAAGTGTAGATTTTTCGTGCAATCACAGATGCTTCTTTAAAATGATTTATAAATAGTAAATTAATTTCTTGATCTAATAACCCTTTTTGAACAAGATAATATAACAGGTTTTATCGTGTAAAATCCCATTACCTGTACTTTAACCGTCCATTAAAATCTAATTAATATCAATTTAGTGTATATGGAATGTTTCCATAATTAGCGTAATGGGCGGTTTCATTAGTTCCTTCCATGAAATGAAATCAAAACGCAATTAATACCTTTTGTATTCCAGGTTGACAATATCATACTGAGAGCGAACAAGATGGCAAACAATGGCAAAATGGGTGACTACGTGATCAATGGAAGGACGAAGGTAAATATGATAGACACACAAATACACAATGACTATACTGTTGACTAAGTAATCACAAACATAACTGGTGTATATGAGGACTTAGCTCTTAATCTCTTCTTACGTACAGTACAGTAATTCCGCACTATGTTAAACATAAAGTAGGAAACATTACTGTCAAAGAAAAAGTAGAAAACAATGTCGTAGATCATCATCATAATTTAGCAATAAAGTTATTGTTTAAGAACTACTTGTAACGGTTTCGGTCATCAGCCATGATTACCATGTTCCGGTTCGAAGGGTCTACAAAATTACTCTTACCTCGATCTTGACAATTTAAATAAGAAGATGAATGTTTATTTCCCAAACTGTCAGTTACTCATAGGTTCGTCATTTGATAGTTTTACCCAAATAAGCACTGGTGAGTAAATAGGGAAAACTACGATATTGATTTGTTCTATTACTTCCCTTAACCTTAACTAAAAATAAGTTAGAACATAGTTCATAATACCTCATGTCTTATGCAACATATATTATCGTCCCTTTTTGCATAAGAACAAAATGTTCCGAAAGCGTGCCATGTAGAAATCGAAAGCCTGACTAAAGTCGACGCAACTTTTGAATAGAAATGCGGAATTCCTTATAGTTCTGTGTTGTTTACGCGTTAAGTCGTATACAAAATCTTGTAAAGGTTTTAACCTGAAGATATATTTTTTGCATATGCACCAAAAGGCCACGAAATAATCTGCCAATACTAAGAACCTAATAGAGATTACAAATGTACACGTGCGATTTTTTTTACATTTATCTTTACATTACCACTTTTTCCCAATTATCATCCGACATTTCCGACCACCAATGAAGCAGTTCCAATGTGGTTATGCATTCCAAAATTATTAATTGGCACGTGTTGTGGTCATCAGTATCTCTTAAATTTAAAACCGCAAACTAACCACCACGACATAAGTATGACTAATTCTAAACGTTCATCTTGTCCGTTGCATAACGATGATATCTTGTGAAATTGCACGCTCTTTTATTTAGGGTCTGACGTAAGATCTCTTCGAATTCGGGGAACCGGACATCTGCTTTCAAGAATTCAGCTGCTAATTAATGTTTGATTGATGAAAGGAATAGTTTCAGCGTTAGTAGATTTTTTATGCAATTTTCTTTGTGGTTTTAAAGTCGTAGCTTTAATGTAGTCGTATATTTCTTTGTTTACCTATTCTATGTTAAGTACCTCGTTGATTCTGTCATTTACGTAATTTTTGATCAAATGTCTAAGTAAGTAATGACTAGTGACTGTTTCAATCTCATACTTCAATGAAGTCACTTTGTTTCCTTTACCATTACACGGATTTCCTTCTGTTTTTCTCTTCCATAAATAAGTTATCGTATTCTTTATTTTCACTTTCAATCTCATCAGTATCGAACGCCCCTATCGAATCGACATTTTCACCAAAAACACGCGGAACATGCACGAATCCAATCGATAGTAACTAATGTAATTTGATATTGCACAGCTTGGTCATGAAAGCTAATAAAAGAAGAACAAATTAAAAAAATAACCAATCATTCTTCTATTCTACGCAATTTGGAAGGTGTAGGAAGACACCTTGTTTTATTATTACGTATGTATTGTGTATAGGATTGTGAAGATCTGTTTCTAAATAATAATAATGTGATAAAATCATTATTCATAATAACAAAAATGCAAAATACAAAAATATATCTTAAGTACGCAAAATTGATCTCGTAAAGTTAGATGCCTGCACTAGGACAATCCTGTATCGCAGGCGAGTAAGAGTGATGATGACGAGAAGTCGCAGTCCATGTCCGAACGCGTACTAAATAATAAAAAGTTCACCTTCGAGGACAATAGAGGACTTTTGTAAGGAACCCCCTATCATTACATTTTGTTATAAATTTTTGCCGATTTACGCAATACCATAAATACTTTTGTACTGACTCGTGATAGTACGATTATAAGTATCACCTTATAAATTATTATCGGACATTCTTAAGATCACCTTTCCATTTAATCCTTTTAAATCGTCAAGATAAAATTCTCAATTTATATTTAAACGTGACTTTAAAATTAATCCGATTCAGGTAACATAAGATTGATTAGTAGCTCAGTCTATAATACCCAAAAATACTAAATAATCATTTCCGCATTCAGGGTGTCAACGATCCTTAGACCAACAGAGCAATTAGAATCAGTAAACAATATAATCTGTGCCCCTGGATCCTACGTCATAATGTTACCGAATCATAATGGTATATTTACAGTTATATTAATTGTGATCCTCATTGCCAACACGTGCTGATTACATATTAACATAAATATTATCATAGAAATATTGTGCTGATTTTAATACTTAAGTCTCTGCTGGATCAAATAAAAACCAGTTCAAGGCTGACAACGTAGGTGGTTTATTTAAATTCCTAAACATCTTTGTGCATCAGTAAGTTCCTTTGGATGCGTTTTCCTTGTACATTAATTTTTGCGCATGAGGAAAATATATATAGCGAAAAGTTTTGTGTTGAAAATTTTGAAAGTCTTGCTTTAAATCTGTATTTTCTATACCAAAACAACCACTGTATTCTTTCCGGAATTGACGAAGCTCATATTAACTTAATGCAGAGTAAATTATTTTTGCGCTTCAAGCTTTTTAATCTTTACTATTTTCGGCAATACCATTTTGAACAGCACTCAACTCTAAACTACATTATGAATATCCTCTTTCTAAATTGTATCCATAGCTCCAAACGGATGTTTTTAATAGAAGTTCACCTCGACACCTTCAAAGTTGCATAGTACACCTCCATTGTCAATATCCGTATATTCTGGTACATTGTTATAAGGTTTTGTGTTTGTCCAAAAAATACCAAACAATTGCATTCAATCAAAAGCCTTTGTCTGATCGTCAAAAATATCAATAGAGTGTCAATTATGTTTTATGCAAATGTTTTTTATAAACATTCTTGTTTAGATACAGTCTGCGACATTAAGCGTCGCTGTATGCGTATCATATTCATCACTTGAGTGTCTTACAAAAATTTTGAGCCAATTTTTGTGCAGCATTTTGTGATCTTTAACAAAGATATTCTCACTATTATGATTCGTATGATATTATTCTCGTGACTCGAAGAAAGTTTCTTCTATTTCATGTGTCTAATTCGACTTCTTTGTAGATATAGATATATGGAATCTAATATCGGACATTAACAGATCGGCCCTCATTCTTGTCTCTCGTTTGCCATGTTTATACAATCCAGGTGATCATCACTATTTCTTATCCAAATCGTTTCGAAGATAGCCATTACAAAACCTTGAATCTGATTATGTAAGTAATCCAAATGACCAACAATTATCCTTAAAGGCAACCAATCTAGGTTCACAGGAAAAATTGTCACTTAGTGCTAAGGGTTTTCCATTCACTTTAGCGTCCAATTCATAGACAATTTGACTGACTCACTTAAAACTTCTAGGCCTATACGTTATAGACGTGTAAATAATCGAGGAGGAGTTTTAAAGGCTTCTATTTGTTATTTTCTTTTATAACCCTGAGTCACCGATAAACAATGTTTTTGTTGTTTTTACAACTTCTTTTAGCTTTATTTGCGAAATGTTTGTAAATACTTTTTTAACGTATATTTTCCTGTTATTTTGGTAAAATATCCTTAACAACATTCCTTTTCATATCAGGTCTTGATTATCAATTTCTGTTTTTAGTTTTACCTCTGTGAAGGAAAACTGAAGTGTCATCTAATCTACTTTACTTTCCAGCCAATCCAGATATTTAATCCTTTCGATACCCATACGTCGTGCATTGACCAACTCAGTCATCTAAATGAGACACAATAAAACATTCGTCATTATAATAATACAAAAAACAAGTCCATAGCTAGCCGCCTAACAGTCTGCCTCTCACAGTTTAGAGCCGACCGACCTCATGAGATCACGTCCATACAATAACATAATTGATTTATTATTTAGTTTATCAGCTCCTGATAAACGAGCTCTTATCTCAATGATTTCCATTCCATTCATACGATGCAGCTTTACTTAGAATTTCCGTTTCAATTGCTTTTTGTTTGTCTTTTAAAACTCCTTGTTGAGACCTTTCGAAGCTTTGTATGATGTGATGTCACAATCGGCAAAGCATTGTTCGGTTTTTCGGTTACAAAATTCCCTTTTGTAACACCGTGTCTGCAATACTCTGGTCCCCTCCTACATGGAATGATAATAATGGGTTTTCTACCTTTTCTATGACTATTGCCTTATTACACGAAAAATAGTTTTTGCTATGATCTTTCGTTTGAAACTACATATAGGGAAAAGGTAGTCCGCAATAATAGGCGGTAACTATGCCATTTATTTCCTGTTCAGTCGTGTCTATTGTATTATGGTCGGTTCTTCATTTTATTTACCTTCTTATATTACCTATATTATGGATAGTTGCGGCAAAAGACAACCAGATAAAAGTAGCAGGGAGTTGTTGGAATTGGATGCATATCGCGTCCAAACGGCTAGTCTAAAAGTTATTGGGGGATGGTCTATGTTCAACATTGGACATCTTTTGGCTAATATGATAATGATGAGGAGAACTATGTAAGGCTACATGTACATTATACTCTTTATTTCAATGACATAAGGAAGTATTCTACTTCTATCGTCATTTTGAAGGGCACACGTAACACTATTCAAGTACATAATTTGTTAATGAGGTCATTCTCTAGTGTTCCCGTTCTAACATGGTCGTAAATGTAAAGTGGGTCACTTTTTAAATATTATTTATTTACGTTGGTAGTAGGCGTATGTTAGGCGCCGCGACGATTTGATAAATCGCTTGGCTGTCGAGATTATTTTTATTGCACAACTGTACTTGCAAATCGCATAATGGTCAGGGAAAATGTGCAAAAGCAAAAGTACTTACAAAATGTATTATTTCATCCGGAAGGTTATAAGAACTTAGAAAAATTGAATGAAACAAGTACTGTGCAATTTTTCTGTA